AAGATAACAAAAGTTTTTTTGATATCTATCATATTAATTAATTTATGAGCTATCGAAACAGATTATTGCTGCCATCGATGTTATAAAACCAAATCAATGGAAAATTTTTTAAATCTTCAAACAATCTTAATACGAAAAAATTGCTTAATTGTTTAAAAATATTATAGGAATAAAATTGTTTGTAAATTTTTATTCTATTATACAATCAAATTAAAAATAGGGATTCTCATTTTATAAAATACAATTTATTGATATCAATCCCTGAAGGGGTGAAAAAAATTATATAACTACATATTCTTGTAAAAAATGTTTAAACCTAATATTTTTCTCTTTACAAAATTTTAAAATTATCATTAGTTTCTAAGAAAAGTGTTTTATCAGATTTAGATCATTCTGTATATAAATCCAATAAGAAAAATCCTCGATATGGAACTCGCAAGTTTTTAATAAAGTCCTTAAGATATGTTTTTTTTACGAAAACACAACTCACTATATTTATAATATCATTATTGTTATAGGCAATCTTAAATTATCAATATTGCCTTAATCATAATAAATTTATTTTGTTCATACGACATTTACACATTGCAAAACAAGATAAAATATTAATTATTTATGATTATAATTTCATTTTAACTTAGCATAATAAAAAATTGTTTAATTAAAGATCTATAGTATAGATGTTCCGAGTAGTAAATACATGTACTAATAGAGTACTGAGTAAAAACCTGATAAAAAATTGCTTACAAACCCAGTACCGGCGAAAAGATTACAAAAAAAGGCCGGGTACCGGTACATCTTTAATAAATGATCATAGAATCATGATCTTATTTAATTTATGCTCCATACTCCTCCCCTTTAAGTGTTCTTGCTCAACAACATTCCTAAGACGTATGTTTATCTTTGAGCTTATTTGAATTGAAATCAGAAAGAACTTTTTAGCTTTGCAACTTTGAATCAATGATATTTTTATGTCAGTTTGAGATAATCTAGTCAAAATTTTTGTTTGCCGATTAATTTTAACTAGTTCAAGATAAACTTTCCCAAAAATATTGACGTAGTTTTTGTTAATATTAAATACCATCCTCTTGCCACGTAAAGACAATATTCTTTACCACTAACTTTATTTTATTCTGTAACAGATGGGTAATGTTTTTTTGCAGTAAGCAAACAATGTATTTGTTATGGTTACTGCGAGAAAGCGTTTGTGGACCCCAATAGCTATATTTCAGAACTCAGGTAGGTGGTATTTCCACAGATTTTTGGCAAGGTTTGCGCCGCCTTCAGCACACTGGTCGTTGGGTGAAATAAAATAAAACAAACAACCTCCGTGTATTGTACGACTAGGGTAAATTATATACGACAGGAAAAAGTGACATCTCATAATTTTCCCTTGTTGTTGGAAGTGTTTTCAGCCAAAATTTTAATTAGATACTGAGGACACTGAGGGTTACCAGTAGATATTTTTCTTTATAACCACATATCATGTTCCAAAGCTAATGTACTTGTCACGTACACAACAATAAAGTAATCAAGGCCAGTTATAATTCATGAGAGTAAGGAACTACCCATTTCTAAATGACCATACACATTGTCACGATTAAAGCTGTACAGATTTCGTTAAGCGTTTCTCTTTAGAAAACAAACATATGTGATAAATATAAATTGACGATTATCAATATAACTTATTTCTACTAAAATTCATGTTTTATTTCATTAAATACAAACGAGTCTTCTTAATAATCATGTTCTAAATTTGACATAAAATGATTTACATATATTTTTATCTTGATTATATCACCTGTTGTACGAGTCACCAATAAAATAGAATACACGTCTATAAATTATCAATCACGTATAAAACAAAATTCATTAAAACTTCCATTACATTTTTATCATACTCATTGTGTTAGAAGGCGCGCTCTTAAATTATATATAGTAGATATAGTCTTTAAATCAATCAAATATTATCCCAAAATTTGGTTTGAGGAAATATAATTTAAGTATAGGAAAAATAATTAATTATAAAATATATAATTCATTGAATGTTAAAAAATTATATGGCAACTGCTAATTTCAATATACTTTTTTTAAGTTCTAAGACTATTTATTTATTTATAATCTTTTAATACATAACAGAGTATCATTTTAATATCAATATTTAATCAAAGTACTTTAAAATTCTATAGATCTTTAATTAAATGTAAATCTATTTCTTACATGTAATAGATTTAAATATAATGAATATAATTTTAAGCACTCAAACTTAAAATATTTTTTAATATTCTACATTGTTCGACTCTTATTGGTTAATATTAAATTGTCCAGTTGAAGTCGGAAAAATGAGTGATTAATTTATCAAGACCAAAATACGCGGACAAAGTGCATTGACCAGTCAATGTATACGATGCTTAAATTACTATATTGGCCGCAACATACAGAGTGTTCATAAGTAAGGAAACAGGTCAATTTTTACAAACAGTGAGAACAATAGAAACCCGTTTCCTTACTTGCTGAACACTCCATATATTTATAAGATTTACAACAGATTTAATTAGAAACAATAGTTCAAGAATGGGGTAGGGATCCCTTGAAGTATTTCATTACTTTAACACCCGCATGGTGTGCACTGCCAAAATCATAATATCGCATTGAATTATTCTTATATTTATGTCCAATTAGCTATAAATTTAAGAAAAATCAAATAATATTTACAGTAAATAATAATTTAATATCACGAGAATAATGGGATTATGAGGCACATTGTGTAATCAAGACTTTCGCCAAAGTTTAAGCAAAACTATAAATAAATTTAAAATATCAAAACTAATTTTCTTTTTTTCGCAGTAAAATAAAGTTAGTAATAATCAAATTACTTTATAACTACTTTGAACAAAATATATTTAATAGTATTAAGTATTTGTTTCGCAATAACTCATTTGAACTTGCAAACAAAATTCAATTAAGTATTGATCAGTTCTTAAATTGCCAGTAAGTTATACCCGAGCGCGGGCCGTAATTTTTCTTAAATACCAATAGGCATTCGAGAAAAAATTGTGCATATTTTGTAAGATATGCCGGAGAGAAATAGTTGAAAGTATTTCTCTAAAGAAAATCCGATTAGCTCTTGAGTGGATCAGATTTTCATTAAGAAAATTAAAATATACTTGTCATAGGAAAACTATAAATAATTTCGGCAACGTGTACGGCGTACGCCTTAAGTGCAATGAACCCGGTGGCTATTAAGATATGGATATGAGAAAGGGAGAAAACAAATGTAAAACGCTTTGAGCTGCTGTTGTTTAACAGCGAGTAAATAATCGATAGTCCAATGTAGTGGAAACATGCATACATTTGATCATTTAAAAAAATTATCAACGACTTGAACGTTATCTGATAATAAATTAACAATGGAAAAACATTGCAACGTCGGCGGCAATCTCATCGAGTACATGGTGCGATATATCGACCGACAAATAATGTGTACTCGGATATCTGCAGCCTCTCGCCGTACATCGAGTAGAGCTACTGTGTTGTTCGACCCGTTGGAATTAAGACCCAAACGAGCCATCGATACACGTGTAACTAATTACCGGTGCGCATCAACGCTAAGCCTTCCTGAAGTTTAACTGTCGAACAGCAGCTGTGGGTTTGAGGTATATCATAATTAAAACGGTTTTGTTGCTAGTACAAAAAAAAAATAACGGGTTTAAACGTGAAACTGCAATAAGAACGCCGTCAGTATAATACCACAGACACGGTAATCTATGTGTTATTACATATAAATAAATTATTGTTAGGTTGCCGGCAAGAAATAAACGTACGGAAGAGGCATTTGAAAAGAAAGCGTTTCCTGTCAAACTGATCCCACTCGCGATAACTACGCCGGCTCTTTTAAGCCGCTTTTCGATTAAAATATCTCGAACAATTCGAGTTTTTATCGACCGATACCATTCCGAATCGGCTTAATAACAAAAAACCACAAAATTATTTTACCAACTCCTCGATAGAATGAAATTACAATGCGACTAGGTATTTTTCTGAAACGGATTAACAGTAATCTGTATGCACTACGAATACTTTTTTTTTTATATATATAAATGTTGTACATTTGTACCACAAAAAATATATTTAATTGTTGTGTCAACTCGAATGAGTTCATAATTTAACGGGAGATCGTACAGAAGTAGTAATTCATTTCTACCACAATGTTATAAAAATTATGTTGAAAATATTTTATCAGAACTACTTGTATTGAGTACTACACGGTTTATTAACTTGACATTTTATTTTTATTAAAAACAAATTTTTTTTAATAAAATGAATCTAATAGATTTAAGACGACGAAAAAAGATGATTTATATTTAAAATTTTGTCACATATATGACCGTCATAAAAATATAAAGAGTGTTATATGAAGTGAACGTGGAGATTTTTTTTTTTTTATGCTGAATGAACTTTTCTTTAACCTGTTATTTGAATACTTACAATGTTTGAAATATTTTAATTATTAATTTTAATAATTTTGAAGTCTTCAAAAATCGATAATTCAATAATTCGCGCGTGTGAATGTGGAGAAAGGGAGTCATTTCATACAAATCAAATTCAATACATTTCAAAATCTTCTTATTTCTTGAAAAAAAAATTGCACTAAATTTCACGACTGTTTTTGACTCAAATTTATATTATTTAGAAAAATTAACAACTATTATTTTTTATACGGTTTATAAAGCGTACAATCGAAATAATATTCAATTTGTGTTCAAACAATCCAATTTTGAATAGAAGAATTTCAAAAATAGCTAATTGTTTTTTAATTATAGTTTATATGAAAAATATTTTATTTACACGTTAATTTTCGTTATTTCTACAAATAAATTTGTTTTGAATAATACTTTTTTAATGATCGTGTCAGTTTTCTTATAACACAAACCGAAATTGTAATATTCTAACAACATTTTAAAATTAATATTATGGTCACGTTCGCAATGTATACTTACAGGTGCAGTGCGGAACTTGAACGGTGCCGGTTCCGCCGGTCGAGGGACAGTCATGCTTCATCTATACATCACGGCGGAGAGGACACCATGGCCGTAACGGGGCCGATAGACGCGTCATGTCACCTCGTGGTCTAGTAACACGTACTCGGCGATAGTCGAGTCGGCAAACGGTCGGAGGAAAGCTGTCGGCGTAACACGTGAGATAACGGTGGCGGTGGTAGTGGCAGTGTTGGACGGAGGGTCGGATAGGTAGAAACCACCTATCTCGCGGATTTAAGTGTCGAGCGTTTTCTACGAAACGTTTAGCGAACGTTGGGACGAACGTACCCGGTCTCGCTCACTGACTGACTGACTAGCCAAACGCGCGGGGCTGCGGCGACACGCGTACGAACCAACCCTTGGACCTCATGAGCCGCGGCGGGACACATCACGCATACTCGCCGAGACGCCGGCGGCCTCGGCATCGATCCCTCCTCCATCCCATACCCTGCCGCTTTGTAGCCAGCGTACGCTTACGCGCCGTCCACCGGTCGCCGCGTGTATGCCACTTTCGCCGACGCCGCAACATTGGCTAGCGTACACCGTCATACTACTATGCTTTCGCCACTGAGCCACCTTCATAGTAAGGGTTGCTAACCGGACCGTGTAAGTCCATGTGGTTCGATTTATTACAATAATAAAAAACTATATTACATTTGCAACTACATACCCGTTTTTCATCAACTTTTTTGTCAAACTTGCGTCAACCGTTAAAGTTAAATTTATGCGGACGTGGACATTTCAATAAAAAATTATTCAAGCCGTCTCTGACCAATATCCTTACGGGAGATCTGTTTCAACTCGGACAGTTCAATTCCACTGATAAGTGGATCTCAATTTCCTTTTTACACGCTATTAGGAAGACCTTTTTATTGGTCAACACAAACATACATATTATTATTATTTTTTTTAAATAAAAGAATTTTACCAGTAGTATCAATTATTTATGTCATGTCCTATGAACTATGTATCTGACAGGCGGGTAAAGTCAAGTTTCAAATATACTATTACCGTATTATTCCATAGAATTATGTTTTATTAATCCGTATGGTTGAATTTTGGTTAGCCCTATCAATAATAAAACAATCTGAACTTGATTTGTAAATCTAGTACATCTAGTGCTTATTAAAAACTATATTAGGAATAAAATTTGGTCTCACAATAATAATGTAACCAAAAACCCAGCTCAACTGGCTATAGCACAATTAAAATACGTATAAATTATATTTAACAGTGATAAAAATCACTATCATAAAAAACGCTCGGTGCAAATCTTTAGAATATGTTTAATTTTCAAAAGGAATTGTAAATGAAATTGTATTTAAATTTAGTAAAATTAATCCGAAAACAACATCAAATCCTATTTCATTAATTATATAAGTCTTACTTATTATCATTATATTTTTTTAAGGTAGGATTAATTGGGGTACTTACCACCCCTCCTATAAGACTAATCTGTTTAAAATAATGTATAGGTATAAATAATTAAAAAAAATTAGTAGAAAACTATAACACAAAATTCGGTGATTTCTCAACAAAAAATTACATTTTTACTTTATATATAGCAGATAAGTCTTCGAGACAAGTTATTATATTTATAAAAAAAAAAATAATATAAATTATTACATAATATAAATATAATCCATTCATATTTCAAAATGTTACTTTGTATAAAGTTGAAAAAATAAAACATGAAATCAAAATTTTTACACAAAAAAAAACATGTTTTTAACTACGGTGTTCATTTTCACTTAGGAAATATAATGTTGGGACAAATTTTTTTTTAACTTATAGTACGAAACGTAAGCTTCAATTTAACATGTTTAAAGGATGCAGTATTACCGGATCATATTAAATAATGAGATTTTCAAAAAAAATATTTACCTATTAAAAGGAAAATACCTTAGGTATTTATAAAAAAAATTTTTTAATTTTTAAAGGTAATGTTTTTAACATAATACAATTTGTGATCTTTCGACGTACTTTTGAAAAATATCGATTCAGCTACATCTAAGAAAAAGTGGTGATACGAGACATAAAAAAGTAACACATCATGTAGTATTAATATTTTCTCAACTTTGAATCGAAGTTGAAATGTGTGTAATCTGATGATTTAGTATTTTAGGAGCTAAACTTGTATTGTTTTTCATTTTATTTATTGTATGTCATATAATAGTGTGGACTGACTAGAGAAGATAGGATAAGGAACGAGCATACAAGAGGAAGTATAAGTGTAGCGTCAATCGTAGATAAGATGAGAGAAAATAGACTTAGATGGTTTGGTCATGTTATGAGGAGAGAAGAATCGGAAGCTGTAAGAAAAGTTATAGAAATGAATTTTGAAGGATGAAGAGGATGAGGAAGACTAAAAAAGAAATGGAGGGATGCTATTGAATACGATATGAGGTCAGCTGTTGTGAGCGTAGATGATGTGGGAGATCGTGTCAAGTAGAAGTTTAGGATAAGGGTGACTGACCCTAAGTAGTTGGGATTAAGGCGAGGAGGAAGAAGAAGAAGAAGATTGTATGTCATATGTCGTTCTTTTAATGAGACAGTTTTCCTAAAAATTGTTCTGTTATTTTAGTTGTAAAAAGGGTTTGACGACCCAAATAATGTTATGCAATTATCACAGATTACGCTTCCCGGGATAATTTTTCGTTACCCTTTTATACTCATTATAAATGCCTGAGGACATAACTGCGCAATTCCATGACAGTAACTTTCAGGCTATAAGATTACAGATATTTTAACACCGAAAACTAAAATAGTGTCCTAAATTTTTTAAATCTCATAAATGAAATTAAACAAACGATTTTGCAATGGAATTCATATTCTTAAAAATACTTTACTTAGTTGATATACATGTTATATCATTTTTCAAATTAAATTAGTTTAATTTTATTCTGTTAGTATAAATAGTTATTTTTTAAATGTAATTAATAGTACCGAGTATAGAACGAAAAAATTTATTTGTTAACGACATATTTTAATTGTAGTACAGATAGTATGTCTATATTATCCTTTTTATTCAGATTATATATGAATGTTTGCTAAAAAATTAACAATCACATATTCTTTTAAATAAAAATTATTGAAGTTTATTTTTTTCCGTTAAAAAGTAAAACATACTTATTGTATTTATTATTGTTTAGATTGTACTATTTAAATAAAGGCAAGAATGGGTAGGCTCATCGAAATAGCGTGATTCTTCTGTTTTTTACTTAATGGATCCTGTAGTATTGGTAGTGAAATTTGTATTATTACTGCATCTGTCTGAACCTACATATCAATTCATGTTGTTATAAATTTTGTAATCAATTTTATAATTTCTGATTAATAAGACACTTTGAAATATAAGATAAAAAGACATATTCTAAAAATAAATCACTTTCAAATTAAACTTTTATTTTAATAATTCAATCATTCGAATATTAATATTAGTAATTTAGCTTGATTTTGGGAAGGACACAAATTAAGTATTATTATAGTAATAGAACGGCTCCTTTAACTGACTTGAAATTTACCTACAATAAATAAAAAAGTATGTAAAATGCTATTTTTTTTACTAGTTGTTCCCATAATTTAAATGTTGTTATTTACAATTTGAGTTCTGTTAGTATAATTTTAGTCGAATAAATATATAGAAAATCATTTTCTATAGTAAAAAATTATTTATTAATTGATAAAATTTAAATTTATTTATTTAAAAATAATAATTGATTACACAAATTTATGGAACTTAAAGTGACTTACTAATATAGATAGAAATATATTCATTAATCGTTATGTGTATATATAGTTATAAGATCTGATGATATTCATTTGTTTTAATTAGATGCTATAGAATTTTAATTAATACAAATGATGTTTCTTTTAATTAAAATCCAATTTATAAACTATATGTTTCTGGGTATTAATTAAAAGTTTTAAGATTTTTAAAACGCTATGATTGCTTTTTTTAAATTTCACATCACACGAGTTAAATATTAGCTTCGATGCTAAGCTGAGAAGGTATTAATTTTACTATGTTGTGTTTATTTTTTTTTGTGTCTGTGACCACTTTTTCTCAGCTCTTACCAAACCGATTTCTTTTAACGATACGTCAAAAGATCACAAATCGTATCTAGTCGAAGACATTACCCTCAAAACTTGAAAAAATTTCCCTCGTTCCCCGTAAATGGGGGAAACCTCCAAAAAAATTACAAATTTAAAAATCGCTAATTTTCGACATTTTTTCAATTTTTTTCTTAAAACTGCAATAACTTTTTTAAAATTGACAAAATTGATATAATTTTTTATATATATATATATATGTATGATGTCTTTATAATATGTCTGTACTGATTTCAACTGAATAAATCTTTTGTTAAACAATATTGATTCAGTAAATGCTGAGTCTTTATATGGACAGAGCCAAAAATGAAACATTTTGTATAATGAATACCACCTCAGCTTCATTTCAATACTAAAATGATTTTTTATTTATTATCCGAATAACTCAGCAAATATTTGTATTTTTATGAAGACAAAATGAAAATTATTTTTTGGATTCATGAAACAGTATACTTACACCATGATTAAGTTTGGAAATCAACTAAATGGGATGTAAATAAATTATTTTTTATTCTACGTCCTTTTATAAAAGTTCAAAAGCCCGAAGGTACTAACGATTTTCAGGAAAATTGGCTTGCCCAAAAATGATGTTGTATGACAGTATCTTACAAGCCCTTTATTAAACTCCTAAAAATGTTTTATCGATTACATATATCAAACGAACTCATACATAGTATGACATTATTTAATGCATGTATATAGAAAGTTTTTGAACTCGACTATGTAATTAGTTATTATAAATTGATTAATTATTAAGGTAGAATCCTATAAAAATGAATATACATATTGTTCTACGATTTAAATGTGCTCTTAATTATTTCAGTTATTAATAAATGAAACACATAATATTTTAACTATTGTATATTTCCTATCAATATAAAATAAGGTATAAATAATTTTTAAGTATTATGAAAATATTTTAATGTATTGATTTTTATTCTTCAAAAGTATTTGGTTAATAGTCTATTATTGTTTACTAACTCTTCTCACAAGCCTGAAAATCTACATCAAATATTTAATGATTAAATAACAATTTTAAAGTTTTCTGCGACATAAATTGTCTATAAAGTATTACTCTTAACGTAGAATGGAACAATTTCTAAAAGGGCTAAATTCCCCTGTTAAAAAATATTTGTACATAATACATGATGTTTCTATATTTTTTGAGGAGTTGTAAGCCATTGTTTTGATTTTTTTTTCAGTAGGCTCCATATAAAAAAAACGAATTAATAATTTACTAACTCACAAATCATAGTGTTGACATAAGTCGATGTTCGGACTTAAAGAGAGAGGTGAAAAATGACCCTCATTATTAAGGTTTATGAGGATAGACATTTTTGTTCAGATATGTTAAAAATAAGGTACAATAAGAACGCTTTTAATAAAGAAGCCTCATCTAAATTTCCAAACCGAGGTCTCACAATTACTTAACCCTTGCTTGGAATAGACGGTTGGGTAAAATAATAATGTGTAGTATACAATGTTATTAAATATTAAATTCAATTACAATTAGTAATTCAAGTAATTTTGTCTTTTATACTTGTGTTAATCATCACAAATTCTCTGTATAACATTAAATAAATGACAAAATTTGATTTAACTTTCAATAAATTATTTCAAATATACATCAAAAATCAAAGAATTTTTACTATAGGTATTGAAACAAAACCAAATTATTCTTTAACCCTCAATTCTGAATTATATATATATATATATATATGTATGATATTCTATCATTTAAACAAATAGAAATACCACTTGACAAAATATCTATTACGAATAGATTTGATTTAAAATTAACAATACAATATTTTTTTCAAATCATATAATTATTAATTGTAGATCATAAGTTTTTTAAACTGAAATATTGTTTTTAATCCAAAAATAAAATAACTTATAAAAGGATATAGAAGAAAATGAGATTTTTAAATTTATTTCTTTGACCTAACTACTTCAATTAAGTGATGAAAATCATATTTTCCAACACAAACTTAGATAAAATTCTAATTATATATTAAAAATTTAGGTAATAGCAGAATAAATTCTCGATAAAATGAAACATTTTCCACAACCTAATCTATAAAAAAAATTTAACAATTAATTACAATAATTAATACTTAAAAAATTATAATTAACTATGACAAATGCCCAAAATTTTATAAATTATTAATTCAACACTTTTATTTAGCTAAGACAGAACAAATTTTAACAAGTTTCTAAAAAAAAATTATTGTTCTTAAAGATATCTTAGACATACATTTAGTCATAAAACACATGATAATACAATAATAAAATATTAGTTATAAATTAATTTTTTAAGTTTTGAGATGGTATAAAAACATGTATTGTTCATTAACTCTCAAATTAAATAAATTGAAAAATTAATTGTGTTTGTAATAAATTTGCTACAAAAACATTTAAAATTTGTTTTAAAAGCAATCAATGCAATTTAATTATAATTATAAAAAAAATTTGTTCAAAATTGTTGCGCTTGTTTGACTAATCATAAAACAATAAATAAAATTTCACAGCCAAAAACAACTAATATTTTGCTTAAAATCTTTAAAACAATAAATGTAATAAGTACTTAAAATAATCACCGATTATAAGTAGGTAAAGGATGTCCTTCACTATTAATAACATATTTATCAATTGATAACATATGTCTATCATCAGACATTAACAAGTATAAGTATTTAAGAGTTTCAGCAAAAAAAAATGATTCAGTCATATCTCGAGGTCTTGTATCATCTGGATCTAAAACATTTCCAATAGATGTATATCCTCCTGCTACTTTAGTATACCGTTCAAATCCTTGAAAAACTGACCAGCCCCAATTTTGATAGGTAACATTTCCAGATATTTGATACATATACCATAAACTTTCAACAAATTCTGGCCGAAGAAGATTATGAGCATCATTTATATTAACATACATATCACGACTGATATCATTCTTAAAGGAAAAAAATTTTTTTTTAATTACAAATATTTTAATTTATAAATCTCAGTAATAAAAATTTAGTTAAATAACCTAAGAACTTCTTTCAAAAAAAAATTTTTATTTATGACAAACAAGTTTTAAACTAAATACATTTGTTAGAAAAAAAAACTTTTTTTTATGCTTTTATAGAGCATTAAGGCCTATATTAGCCTTCCCAAAGGGATGGTTCCTTAACCATGAATACTCTGGAATGGTCGCCAAAGAGGATATACAGGTGAGTCACAATAATATAACAAATTCAATAATTTTTGATCAAATTATTATTTTTTTGAAATTTTATTTTTCAAAAATTATTACTTACTGTTTTAATATTTTTTTTAAATATAATTATTATAATTAATGAAAAATATTCTTTGAATGTGTCTAATTATTTATTATTAAAAATTTTTTAACAAAATGATAAATGGATCAAAAGTTATTGGATTTATCATATCATCATGACTCATTCTGTACATATAGTTTTTGTCTTTTTGAATTTTATTAATTACATTTGTATCAGATAAATATGTAATTAATAAAATATTTTTATACATTGTATTTATATTTTTCTGTTATAAAATAATCATAAAGACATTCACATTTTTGTATCTATGGTAGATGTAGAGTGCCACCAAGAAATGAATAATGATAAAATTAACAGCATCCGCGAATCATCTATAGTCTAAATTTTAAAATTTTAATAATTTACAAAGCATTGGTCAAAAAGTTGCTACTGACCAGTCATTTTCTTAATTATATCATTTTCTATTTTATTAGCTAGTTTAATACATACATTGCCATTTAAAAAAAAATGTTGATACCCCTATATGAAATAAGTGATGAACATAAAAAATATTTTATAATAGAAAAATGAAAATATATATGTAACTAACAAAAGTAAAAAAAAAAAAATTATTATTTTAAGAGATATTGATTGGTTAGCGTTTAAAGATTTAACTTGTATAATAATATTATTTATTTGTACATATAACAACCTTTAATTGAAACTTAACTAAAATTTTACTTACATTTGTACCAAAGTAAACAATTTCTGGGGATAAAAAAGTTGGCTGATCTGCATACATTAGATAGCAGGTTTCAATGAGTTTCTCTGCAAGTCGCATGTGACTGTAGGGCATACCATGATGTACTCCCAAAGCTAGTGTTCCTGGTAAGTAACAAACTAAATGATCCATTTTAGGATGAAATTCTCGAGTACCAGCTCGGAGTTCACCTATATAAGTCAAATTTCTTTGTGGAGTAGTCCTTACAAGCTTAGTAGTAATGCCATCAATAGCTTCTATGTAATCATTTTTTAAACTAAAAAAAAATCAATAATAAGAACTTAAATGAAAAATAAAACTAAGGTAAATAAATTATTACTTATCAATTGATTTTCCAGTTTGAATCCATTGTTTAAGTAAATATTCATAGTAACTGTCTCCTCTAGCACCTAATTTAATTTCAGACCCTCTATGAAATTTGCCAGTGTTTGGATTTATATAAATTGGAACTAAACCATGGTATTTTTCTAAAGTATGAATATGTTCAGAAACTTTAAATGAAACATCCTTAAACAAAATATTAAAAATAAATAATTTTTTTTTTTTTTTAATTAATGTACTTTTATTCATAATAATACTGATAAATAATAAGAATTAATAGTAATAAATTAATTAAATTTTACATTATATTATAATTTTATTGATGTAAGATCACTTACTTCAAAACTTGATCTTCCAGTAGACCGTGACAAGTCCCTAAATTCTAACTGTAAAGTAGACACTTCTGCTGTACTAGAATCTGGGCTCCATTTTGGAGAGTGTGCCAAGTGAGAAACAAGATTAATATCAGAATAAGGAATAGGGGAAGGAGACTTTGTAAAACATGGTAGAAGTCTTTCACCAACATTAAGCTATAAAAAATAAAATAAAATTTTATTATGAAATTTTATAATGTACACTATATTTTTTAGAACAAATCATTATCTTAAGATTAATAATATTATTTTACAAGTATATTTCAATAAATATTATATATTGAAGTTTATTTACTTAAGTCATTAATTAAATTAATAAAAAAAGATATCTATTTTTATACATTTGTAATTTCTAAAAAACAAGTGCTTATTGTATTTACAATCATTTTTGTTCCCTTAAGTTATATAGCCAATAAGAATTAGAATTATAGTCCCTAAACACTGACATTTTTGAGAAAATCTTTTCAATCAAATAAGTAGTGCTGCTCATTTCTATACATAGAGTGATTTTTTGACTCTGCATTTTAAAATTATAAGGGAAAATAAAAACTTTCATCCTCTAAAATTTTATATTTTTCTATGATTTCTATAAAAAATCAGCTTAACTAAAATTGATATAAAGAGATAATAGAGGTAAATATTATTACAAAAAATATAGTGTATAGAAAATTATAAAACATAATTTGAAAAAAGTTTTTGTTTTACTAAATATTTTTAAAAATATCAACTAGATAAGCAATTACATAAATTATAAAATTTAAATTGTCATTTAATAATAAAATCTTGTAATTCTGTTTTTAAACAATTTATTTTTATATTACTATTAAATTTTAAAGTTTAACAATAGCAGTTAGAAATGTATTTTGAGTTGAGAGTTAAATAAAATTACCTAATAAATAAAATACTTACTGCTTTTTCTAGGAATAAAGAATCATCTGATAAATGATAAGCGCTTAAAAATCCACCTAATACTCTGATAGTTGTTTCAAACAAATTAACATCTTTATAATGGTCCAGGTTAAAACTTGAGCTTACCCATTCACGTGCTTCACTGAATTCTAAAATTAAGACAATTACAGAAAATTAATCTCTAAAAATAATTTTAAAATTATTATAAACCTTTTTTTAAATTCATTATCCATAAGGTGTCAAGTGAATCAACTATAGTCAAACCCATATTAAACCAGTCATTATACTTTTTTGAAATAGGTTTAACATGGTCATGGCCCCAAGCATACTTTTGATAACCTGTCCATGCATGCTTAAATGCTTTTAATATTGCATTTTGACGGTGGCCAGATGCAGAAGGAAATTTTATTCCATAACTAGTTAATTCAAGGATTGTTGGATTTATTGCTGGGGCAGCGATTTGTTCTTTTTCATTTATAACTTCAGCATTAACTATCTCATTTAATTTTACGGCTTCCACACCATCTGGTAAATCTAACTCCTAAAATATTATACAGTTGTAAGATATAAACAAACGATTATTATTATATTGATACCTTTTCTTGCTGAGAGTTACTTAATTGAGGTAACTTTTGAATATTTAAACCCATTACATTGTTAAACTTCATAATATTGCCAAAGAGCCATAAGTATATTAAAATAAACACAATGAAAAAAACTATATACAGTGTAAGTTTCTGTAACCGAGAGAATTTCCTCCAAAACTATAAATAAATGAGAAAAATTACAATTATTATTTTTAAAAGTTAAATTTTCATTCTAAAAATCTAAGATTTACCCTGAGGCAAGATATTTTGTAGCTGTAATTTTGGCCATGACTAGTTAATGATATTTTTTCAAAGTTCAGTGCAACATGGTCTTGTACCATATTAATGAGCTAGTAAAATATCAACATTTATTATTCAATTATAACAATAATTATAAAAATCCATTTATTTAATAAAAATCAGAAATATTTGATTTTCTTTTACTTTATTAAAAACTCGAATAAATTAAAAAAATCGACAAATATTATTTTATTATACATAAAAAATTATTATTCGCTTTATAATTTATTATATTATAATTATCTCATACTAAAAATTAGTTCAATGTTTAATTTACAAATAAAAAAGTGTAGGCAGGAACATCATTTACTTTTTATCACAAGACACTAGGTGGCAGTAAATATAGTGATAACATAAAGATAGATTTCTAGATTTCACTGTATTCGAATTATCTCTGAAACTTAAAAAGCTAACTGTATTTTTACATTATAGTCCGATACATTAAGCTGTATCAAGAATTTTCTATTATAGGTGTTATGTAATGAGTGTTTTTTAATCGTTCCCGAAATACGTATCCGTGTTAATTTAGTAATTTTTTGTTGCTTTTAGAGCTAAATATTTTTAATGTAATTTTCAAATATACATGTTAAATAAATTCTGCAGGTATACATTTTAAAATAACTTCTAAAAGTGAGATAATAATGGATTTGTACACCTGGGGTGTAAAGAATAATGTGCTGTTATCAAATAAAATTGAATTTAATTGACCCTCTGGAACAAGGAAGATAGTAAGGAATGATTTTATTTATTTATAAAAAATAAAACTTGTTTTTACTTATCACTGGTATATTGAACTATTTATGTGTTCAATATATATTTTATAATTTTTTTTTTAGGCTAAGCCTTGTGATAACTTTAATGAGTTAATTTCAGCGGTTTTCTATTGCTTTCTGTACAGGGGATATGGTGCTTTTTGCCATTATAAAAATGTTCATATGGTCACCCATCCGTGAGCATAAAGCGCAGCTTAACACAAGAATATACCAGTAAATAGTGTGACTATTGTGCTACACCACCCCTTCCATAAATATTCATTTTACCTGAATTTATAAATTCAAATATTTTATTTAGTTGAATAATAAACTGAATACTATGTTTATGCAAATACTTGAAAATCTTTTAAATACCACACACTTGAAACTTAATTAAAAATGTTAAATGGTAATTTATCTGTTAGTTTTTAGTTAGATTATTAATGATAGATAATATATGTCTTATGAAAAACTTTATATAGACTTTTTGTTAATTTTCAATTATATTATGATAGGCTCAAACAATAATTTTTTTTTGTTTTCGAGAATTCTATATTTGAAATTTAAAGTATATACAAATTAATATAAGAGAAATTATGAAATTTTAATATCTTTATCGTCTGCTAAACAAAAATCGTATATGTGTACTTAATTAAATTTTTTTTATATTCTATTTTACCTCTATTGAATAATTATTTTTGTTTTGAATATCAGCCCATAGATGGCGCTGATTAATCAAAATCGTTTATTGTTCTAGAATAAGGGTGTTTAATATTTCGAGTAATCCTTATGTCATAGTGTCACATCTTAAAATGTTTTTAATAAAGACTAGTGTCGGGGCTAATTGAGCGTTCGCCGAGTAGACGACTTGACCGCTGAAAACTGCGTTGCAAGTGCAGTTAGACGTCAATGTGACGCGTCATTATTTCAATGGGCTGTATAGCTCATATATACAACTTGGTCGTTTGCTCAATTTTCAAAAAGGGTGTCTGCCGCTTTTATGGCACGCGTACTCTTCCGGGGACGTGGGGTATGGCCATCAAGACATACCCGGCACGTAATTTTTGGAAATGCGGGCAGTTGGTTTACCTAAGTGTACCGGCGCCCCACGAAAGACATGTACTAAATATACCTATAAGAATTCAATCATTTGCCCTCTGTGTACTGTTTATTCACTCTCACTTACGTTTTGGCCTTATAATATTTACTTTGAATCATCGTAACTGTACGCTGGACGTAGAGACTGTTAACTAGCGTAAATGTCTAGCGATCAAGTGTAACTACAATGATATTTAATAAAGATGTACACTATCGCTTAATTATAATGCGATAGTATCCATCTCTGTTAGTTAAAGTATTAATAAAACTATCGATATTCGATTAATTATTCGAATGATAAAATGCCTGTCTGAATAATCTAAAACAATATGTACATGCAATATAAAATATTATTATACAAATAAATCTTTTAACACTAACCAATCAATTTCTCTTAAAATAATATATATATTTTTTTTACTTTTGTTAGTTACATTATATTTCACGTTATATCAACTTTTTTTTGACAACATATGTATTTAACTAGCTTATAAAATAGAAAATGATATGTCGACAATAACTTTTGGATCAATACTTTAGAAATTATCATATTCTAAGATACATTTTTTTGTTAATTTTCAAATTTTATGTGACTGTGGCAATATATTATACTGTTTTTTGTCAAAATAATATCAATTGTGTATAAGATTTTATACACGCGATTACTCCAGTAACTTAATTTTAATATAAAATAACTGTGATATAATTGTTTTATATTATTTATTATTTTCGATTTCTGATAGTTAAAAATGAATGCAATTGATAGTTAGAACTTTTATGTTTAAAAAAAAAAATTCGAAATTTTTTATAAACTATATATATTGCTAAAAAATATTGACAGTGAAAATATATTAATGCTAAACTGAAATAATCGTTTTTTTTTGGCTAAAATAGAAAATAAGTAATATTTGATAAAAATAAAATCGTATACTTTCAATGCGAATTTTGAATTAACATTTAATTATGTGTATTCATTTAAATACAAGGTAAAATTTTTAAATATTAACATGTTCTGGAATATTTTTAAAAAATTTTATGCAACTTACAATTATAATATTGTTTTAAATATTAAAAGCAATAGTTCAAGTCTACTGTTGAAATATTATACATCAAAACCGGTCGTATTTTCTTTTTTTTAAACAATTTTTTAATTTTTATAATTCTTAAAATAAAATAAAATTTCAAATATTATTTTATTTATTTTAAATAAGTTTTTACTTATTCAATTCTGCCTAATTAATTCATTATTTTTTTAATATGGCATTTAATTAGTCATTATTTTCAAGTATGAAATTCCATGAAAAATTATATGATTATTAAAATATTTATGGTAGACATTAAAATTGATTTTTATTTCACTTAGCCTTGTAAAAATAATAAAATTTAGTTTTTAAATGTATTGTACTTATCAAATAAGATTTTTTGATTGAAGTTTAATTGGAGTTTACAAAACAACAACTAAAAGATAAATAATACAATTTTGAAGATTTAATAAACATGAACGGAAATTATACAATAAATAAATGTTTTCTGTATTGAAGAACTGCAATTTTTTAAATTGCTCTTTGCATTAAAAGTATGATCTATTATTTTAGTAATAGTATTTTCAAAAAAATATTTTAAAGAAAAGTTTATATCCTAGAGTATTATACATAAAAATATCATTTTTATAAAATTAGTTTGCAGTACGTAGTCAGGATTTCAATTTTTTTTTCAATGTGTTTTTTTCAGCTGCTCAATGTTATAAGTCTCACTTAATATCTGAAATATACATTTTTGTTTAGAGGGTTCATTAACCTCTATTTTGATATATGTGAAGTTTTTAGTGATACACAGAAATAAGTCTTTAATCCCTTGAATACCTGTAAAGTATGGAAGGAATGGGGTTCTATCCCATCTGGCAATTTAATAGTTTGTAAAACCTATTGACGCCATTGAGTTTAGTCATAAGTTGTCATGGATTCTAATCATAATAATTAACGAATAAAAATCGTAGGAACTTAGATTTTATATCGTTGGAAAAAAGACAAAATAAGCTTTTTAAATAAAAAAAATGTTTTGACATACTAAAAACTAACAGATGACTATAGATTAAAGATTATCGTGTCGTGAATATCAGTATTACATAAAAAAACTTATTCTTTATTTTCTGACGAAAAGAATCGATTTACAAAGGGCTAAAATTTAAATAATTATTTTAATTAATAGGTGCGCGCATACCATTTGAAATGATGCGATTGAAGAGTTGGTAAAAGAAGAGTAATAAAATATCTAAAAGCAAATTTTCTTGATCATATCATTGTTTTGTTTGCCCGTATGACGTCCTCTGAAAGAGTGAATTTATTTAGGTTTTTTATTTATTTAGGTTTTTTTTCTTAGTTTACTAAATTATTCCAGTTGTAATTACAAATATATAGATTAGTAGTAAAATCATTTTATGATGCAGTATTAGGTAACTAAAAAACATAACAAAAAAAAATAATCTTTAATTTCTACTATAATTTTGTTTAGAGAAAAATTACTTTTAATAAAATATTATGTGTTCTTAGTTCATTTTACAATAAATACGACGACTATGTTTGCAGGTAATTTTGAATTGGATAAATGATTTTTACATTGAACAAAAGAATGTTCGTTCCAGTGAAAGAAATCAAGTGTCACCTACACTTGTATTTTAAGGATTTGAGTTTGAAAAGCGGTTAAATCGTCTTGTCAACATTTGGTATGGGTCAGCTGTTCCACGTTCCATTACGGCGGTCGGTTGTTACCGCCAGTATTCGTCAGCGCATGTCGGTGCTTCTGTCCGCTACAGTATCATCGTCAGTCAGTAACGTTGCTTCAGCATCGTTGTGTGCGTCTGTTTACGTTACTGCGCGCGCAGTCGTTTATCATTTTGTTTAGAACAATTGCGACGCTTGTGTGATAACTGATAACCGTTGTTAAAGTTATTTATTATCTATTAGCCTTTGATCTCCGCTCGGAAAGGAACTGAAAATATTATTTTTAAATGATTTTAGTTTTATTTTCGACAAATGTCTTAATCGATAGTTTCATGCTCTAAACCCTCGTTGGGTTTAAACACGCTACCATAATTTATAATATTTCGACTTGAGTAGTCTAGTTTCAATTACAAAATGCCTACCGTCATATCCAAGTTCTTAGACGGACGAATAAAACGAGAACACTACGGCAAAGGCGTGTTGGCCATAGCCGTGTTTCTGTACGGTTGTAAGCTTGGATATCCTGTTGTGCTGAAGGTATGCAACAGTGGAAGAAATAATGATAAGCCCAAGATTGACCCATACGAAAACAACAACATCAAAGGACTACCCTTACAACCCGCTGAAAGTGTTCCAATTGTGGTCAACTGCAAAAGAAAAAAGTTCAGGGTAGCCTCTGGTCCTGCTATCAATCGTGAGTTTTTGATACAACTTCGAAAGCTTATCCGGCTAATGGTGCCAGGATTTTGGACACCAGAGGTGGGCTTGCTTAGTATGCATACAGTTGCTCTTATATGCCGCACGTTCATGTCGATTTTTGTGGCAACCATGGAAGGCCAAATGGTCAAATATATCGTTCGTCGGGACACCAAAAACTTCGGTCTAATGTTACTTAAGTGGCTGTTGTGTGCATTGCCCGCCACTTTCCTGAACTCGATGATCCGTTATTTGGAATGCAAACTGGCATTGGCATTCAGGCAAGACATTTTATATAATATTTACTGTGGTTATTTTAAGCTAATTAAATTGGGTTAAGTAATATCAAATAGGAAAATTACATTTCTAAGTATAATTTATTACTGGTATATGCACAAATAGCCAAAATATTACTAAAGTAACTGACAAATGCGTAAAAGATTATGAATGAATGGTCATTTGTGTAAAAGTTACTTATGTGCATTTTTTCCATGAAAAACTATTCTTCTTAATTATTTTTGTTATTTTAGACTCGTATTCATAATTTTAAATTAGTAGTATTACTTTAAAGAAAATTATTTTTTTATTATGTATTTATATTCAAATAACTAATTGACCTAAAATAAACTTTGGACTTTCTTAACTAGTGATAATTCAAGTATGTATTATTATATGAAAAATATTTTCATACGTTTATTACTTATAGTAAATAACAAAATTATCGACTTCTTATCAATGTGTTGTGATAAATTTTCGTCACAAACTCGCGTGTAGTGTACAATTAAATACACTAATGTGTAAATTATTAATACCGCATTTGAACGAGTATGCTTCGTTATTCGTTAATTATAACTATTTAATAAAATAACAATTCACGTACCAACGATTTAGTTGTTACGTTATTTTATATATTTGTTGTTTGAACTTTTTAGAATAACGTCAAAAAATAATAATTTACCCTGGTAAGAGGATCATGTACTTATAAATATATATACTTTGGTTCACGATGTTTTGATAAATCTAATAACTATTGATTTGCTAATTGGTTTTTTATTACTTTCTTTTTTTGTGATTATTAAACTATAGGTCTGAAAATATCATCAAAAATAATATATTAAGCATATTATTTAATAAAATATATGTTTTATTTTTACAAACATTTTTTTTAATTTGCAAAAAATTGAAAAAATAAATACGTTAGTCATTTTATAAAATAGTTAAAAAAAATATCCTATTAATGTTAATAAGTAGTAAAATTACTGTAGTAATTTAAAGTTTGTGAATTATCAATATTCATATGTTTATTGTGTTCAATAAGTAAGGATAAAGGTTTCTTTGGTTCTCATTGCTCGTAACAATTGACCTATTTCCTTATATTTTGAACACCTATATGAATTTAGTCATTTTAAGTAAAAAATAAATTGCTGTGTCAAGGTTAACTTCTTCAATGGGTAAAAATATTCTTAAAATATATGATTCCAATTTTTAAATGGTTTAATTTTTTATAATTTTCATGAAAAATTAGTATCTTTTTGTGACGTATCAACTTTTTAACATGAGCTACAGAATTAAAAATCACAAAAACAATTTTATTTGTTTATAAATTAACTCATTCATCCTTTTTCTTATTTTACATTAAGCTATATAATCAAATTTAAATTAATTAGAAAATAATTGAAAGTGCCTTATATAACACCAAAAAAGAAAAAAAGAAAAATTTTATAATTATATTTAATGAAGAAATTCATTATGGTTTAAAAAATAAGAAAAAGACCTTTTAATATTCTCATTGTGCTTTAAATATGACCTGTTTTCTTAATTATTAAACACCTTTTTGTTTCCTAATATTGTAAGAAAAAGTGTAAATTATTATGAATAGGAATTATGCATTTATAAAATTTGTTTGGACTATTTTCATGACACCCAACTTCATTAAAATTTATCAGAAGTATAAACAGTATCACAAAACCTTTTATTGTTCTAAGAGAAGTTATCTTAAAAATAAAATCCTTATTAATTTATATTTATTTAGGATTTAAAATAGAAGCGAATATATATTTATCATTGTGGTGCTCAAAATAACTAAAATAAACTTTATAAATGCATGAAGTCCAAATGTTAGTTATAAATAATGAGGATGATAGAAATTCTTTTCATACTTTGTGATCATGTTGTATCTGAATGTTAAAACTGTTTTTAATATTATGGTTTTGTCTCGAGTTGAATTTGAAAATTACTTTCTAAATAGGAGAAATATTTGTATTTTAACAATATTTAAAATATTCTGTATGTAAAAAATGCTCTTATGATAATTTAAAAAAAATGTAAGTATGTATTTTTTTTTAAACAAAATAAGTCTCATTAACTATAATGAAACAAGCAAGAAATTAAAACTTGTATAATTGGCAAAATATGATTCATTTGTACTATATAAAAATTAATAAAGTTCCAGTAATCTAAAATTAAATGATACATGAACATTTAATTGTACTGTATAAACCAAATTTAACGTTAAAAAGAAAACGGATTACGTGAGATTTATTTCAAGATAAATATGAACAGTTAGGATAATATTTAAGAAATTTTAATTAAGTTTTATCGATTAAATCTAATAACTGAAATTTAGTTTAACAATAATTAGTGATAAAATCAAGTTGAAATACATTACAACTTTATTTTTAAGTTTTTTTACTTCTACATGCTGAAATGACGAAATTCTAAAAAAAAATAATGAATTTTATAAAATGCTCAATTTTTATGTTATTATTTATTTTTCAAAATTATAAGTTTATTAATTTTGATTAAATACTAAACATTTTCTAAATGAAAATTGAAATTATTATAGAAGTATTAAAAAAGTTGATACTGTGCTACTAAATATTATTCTGTTGATCTTGAACTAAAAATTTTTCAAGTTCAAACTTATATCTTTCGCCAATTTGCATTTTTATGATCAAAGAACATTAAGTGATTTACTATTGTTAATTGTATTTTGTATTGTGTATTTTCAATTTTTTCTTTGTATACAAGGTTATCAAGAAATGATGATGATGGTGATGTATACAAAATTATATCTAATCAGTGTATAGAAATAATTTAAAAATTACCCATCCATTCATTGTATTCTTAAGTTTCCGTCGAATATTTTTTTGATTACAAACATTCTTGACACCCTCACATTAAAAGAAAAAAATTAATTATATATCCATTTGTAACTATTATTCCCTATATTATATTATATTATTAGTTAAAATAATAATAGATTAAATGCACGAGTACCAGTATGTTATAATGATATGATTTTCTGCTAAGTATTAATAAAATACACTTTGCGCACATGAGATTAACGCGTCTGGAAATTTAAATCCCATTCAGAATTAGTAACCATATAATTATATGGATGTTTTAACACGATTTCGGTAACGTATAAAAATTTGTTTTTTTGTTTCGTACTTTCAGCATTTTACTAATAATATAGTGGATTACAAAATGTCCAACTACTTACAAAACAGAGTTAAAGGATACTAAAAAAATGTATCTTTTTTAATATAATTAAAAAATTAATCAATCAAGATAAATTTCATTAAACAATCGTGTTAGTCANTTTTAATATAATTAAAAAATTAATCAATCTAAGATAAATTTCATTAAACAATCATGTTAGTCGTCAAAACTTATATAGGATCGCATATTTCGATTAGTTAAATTTAGTTTGTTAATAGGATTTATCCAAGGAATAGTAGTTTTTATGAAATTTTGAGCATTTTGCATAATATTTTAGCTAATAAAAATTATATCAGTTTCGAATCTAACACTAAAAATATTTTTGAAATGTACATACAATTTTTTATCTAATGGTTTTAATTTTAATTTGTGTTTATTTTTAAACAAATTTAGTAAAAAGTTTAAATTTATAAAATCACTATCAGACTGATTTTTAATGTTTTATAAAATAGGCTCAACTTGAAAAATTTGTTTAAAAACTACAAACTATATCATAAAAACAAATTTCAATATTCATTTGAAAAAAAAAAATTATTCTATCTATTATTTAAAGTCCAATTATACTGTTTTTACAAATTAGTAAATATTTCAAAATCTAGACGTAATAGTATAAATAATTCTAATGGTAGACTTGAGATCGTCGCAAAATATTTCTTAGAACCATATATTTTCGTTATTGTTAACAGAAAAATATTAAATTTTGCTGACCAATATTAAATAATATTTTGTTTGTATATAAAAAATTATAAAATGTGAATCTTGTATTAATTTTACGATAAAGAGAAATTAAAAAAAATAAAGGACAAGTTTAATGTTAAAATTATAAGTTGAAAATTTTCCTCAGTTATAAAAGATTGAAGTAATAATTGTATTAAGCAGTATCTGAGTTATGGCCATTAAATCGATATCAAACATTATTAGAACTATTAAATTGAAGCCGTATAGTATTTATGATTTTGATTGACGTCATTGTGGGTCACCCTCTTATTGAAATTTCAAGAATGCGATAAAATATAATGTTTTAAGGTCATATAATTCATTCCAGTATAATCTTAAATTAAGAAATTCTGGAGTTTTGGTTTTTTGTCCACTCTGTTTTGGATTGATTAAAAATGGGATACAATCTGTTAGTCACTTCTTTGGTTTATTACGAAATTTTAGAAAAATTAGTTCCTGCTAATATATGTATTCACCCAAATGAGCTATCAAACTCCTCAAGGCGTGTTTCAGTACACTTTTTTTTTATTATAATTACTCATTAGTAATAATCATTAAAAATTATCAGTAATGACGGGGGCGATGAGGAAAAGCTTATGTTTAAACTATTAAAACTTCCATTATTACGCTTCCGTAGATAAATCAATGTTAAAACTTATAAGTAATAAATAATTGTATCTCTAGATTTTTTTTTCTGTTAAACAACAAGATACTATAAATGCTATGCCAGCCAAACTTATAGAATGTATACATTATAACTGAGTTATTTTCATAAAATGCAATCTACGCATATTATTTTCATATGCATTCACATAATTTTTTTTTTTTTTTAATTTTACTGGCAGTAACCTATATAGAAAACTGATTAATTGATATTTTAGTTGTTTACTTATGAATAACCGTCAAATGATATTATTAATAAGTGTGTGATGTATGTATACCTAGAATATAGTATATATTCGCACGTTTAATGAACATTATAATATTACATAATGAGAATTGAGTTATTGTAGTTAATATTATTTTAAATTAAAAATACATTTAAAATACTAATTTAAAA